GGCAGGCCTTTGTCTCTTAATTTTTGTAAGCACTCCGTCCAGGATAGGGTGTCTCAATGGCAGAGCACTAGCCAAGGTTGAAGCTGGGAGTGTGGGTTGGAAGATCCTGACCCACAACTTCTAGTGGGCAGGTGTGTAGTAGATGTACCCTATGGTTCTGTAACTGAATTTATCAGCTCTCTCCTCCGCACTACAATTTCTCAACAAAGACAGGCTTACTCTAAACCCTGCCATCCTTGAGTGATTGCATGTTTCCTGTTTACCCCATCACAGTGCCAGTCACCTCCTCACATCTAAGTTCAGGTGGCTTAGAAGTGAGCAGATGACTTGTACCGATTTCCCTTCAGCTGCTCTAGTTGATGGTTGAACAATGGGAGGTGGCGATTTGAGCCTTCTGGACCTCATCATCAAGGTCACTTCATTTGTCCCCTTGAGTCTCCCAACAGTTCTGTCAGTCCTGCACCTCATCCTTTCCCTGTGTGGCCTCCCAGGTTACAGACTAGAAGAGGACTGCCATTGCCTCTGTAGCGTCAAGGAGACATTTGTAGGTCTTACCTCCCTATTCCCTTCCCCTACACACACTATGAGAATAACTGTGTGAACAGCATGACATGCAGAGAACATAGCTCTTTGGAACCAGGCTCCCTCTGAGTTCCAATCCTGGTCACTTAACCTCTGGATGTCTCCATTTCTTTAATGCAAAACGGGGAATGAATAGAAAACCCCAAGCTGTGAGTCATTTTGAGCATTAAATGAAATATTACTATGAAGTGTTTAGAACGATACCTGGCATGTGTTAAGTGTTAGCTGTTTTTAGTACACAGACCAGGTTTTAGAGTGACATCCTTACATGACTTTAAGACAGCAACATGGCTGGGCCCAGTCTGTCCTGACCAAGCCCTTTCTTTGCCACCTCAGGTGCTCAAATGTCTGTATCTGTCTCCACCTTACCATGAGCACCTGAGCTAATTCTGCAAGGACAAAATATACTAAAGCCAAAAGAGAACAGCCAAGGACAGCTGAAGGTCACAGGACACTCCTGTGACATGGAGAACCTGTAGGCAGGGAGAGGTGTGACCATTCCTGGCCAAATCTGCATCTACTACGGTTTGTTCTCCAAAGAACCTTTCAGCCAAGAGGCCTCTTGTTCCTGCCTTCTTTGCTGCCCTGATGACCTGGGCTGGGCAGTGAGACTTAGGAGGGTTTGGGAGGGTCCCCCGTTTATTTTTCTGTCCCCTTAAGCCTAGAGTCATCTGAGTACGCTTTCAGCATCCCCTCCCCTGAAACCCATATTGGCCCATCTAACTCATCAAAGTCATACAAGACTAAGGAACCCAGGGAAAAGGGACTCTTAATGACCTCTTTTTCTTGTTTTTCCCCTTCTCTACTTCTACCAGAGAACTCACCCCAGAATCTTTTGATGTTTAGGACCACCGTTAGGAAGGGAAGAGATCTGATGACAGACCCTGTAAACCCAGTTGACCCAGGTAGGGTCTTCCCAGTAGCTCCATCTCATGCTGTGTCGGATTCACCCATACAGTGTCCTTTTTCCCCCTTCATCAGTTTGGTGCAGATCTGGTTCACTCTCTATTTCCTAATCCTAGAGAATTTCATATACATGTATATCATATGTACTTGGCACCTACAAGGACAGAGCATTATCACTGACACTACCACCAACTGATTTCTTAGTAAGGGATAGGCCTTTATACACACTCTTCCATTGGTTCCTTACAACAACCCGATGGGAGAGATTTATAGTATTACTCCTGTTTTATGGGGATAAACCGAAATAACTCATTCATATCCTACAGTTAGTATTTGGAAAATCTGGGATTCGAACCCAAAATCTCTGCTTCTAAAGCCCACCGTGCTGTGCTGAGCAGGAGAGGATGTGGGGTCCTGCATCCCACATAAATCACCCAAGCCAGCTGCCAGGCCTTTGTATTCCCTCCAGTAAGATGCCACTTGAGAGGCTGGCTGGTTCGTTCAGTTGGTGAGAGCGTACTGCTGAGAACACCAAGGTCCAGGGTCCCCTCCTTTTACCGGCCAGCTGCCAAAGGAAAAAAGAATGTCATTTGATTCTCTGAGTCTCCAACTTATCAACCCCATCAAACACCGTTTGCTTAGCAAGCCAGACCGCTTGCAGGCACACCCTGCCTTCCCACCTTGCACACACTACGACCCGTCATGTGGCCACTCAGCTTCCTCTGCCAGGTAATGGCGCAGAGGCCTGCTAAATATATCTCGGTCCTCAGTAACTGATACATTACCCTCATGGAAATACTGGAAGTGGGAAGGGGTGTCAGTAGCCTCATTATGTGGCAGAGACAGCTCTGCCGAGTCAGCAAATGGTTCAACTTGGACTGGAGGCCTGGCTTGTTCCAGAACCTATTTCATGATGCCATCTCCCATGGAAATTACAAAAATGTGGCTCATGATAGATTGCATCCAAATATAAGGTGCCAGTAGGCAGGGAGGAGTGTACTTCAGTGGGACTACCTTGCCAAAGTGAGGACTTGTCACCTGGCCTAGTCCCACATGAATCCCAACAGTGAGTGGTGACAACTCTGGACTCCCCAGATCCTGCAGGCCCTCCGCCTCCCACCACCCACTCCCCTCCTCTCAGGAGGCACAGAAGAGACAGGTGAGAAGCTTGCTCTGAGGTCATCTCCTGGCTGGATTCTGCTTCGTGCCTTCTGCTTACTGATTTCCAAACCTTTTGCTGCTTAGACATTGTTCCTGGCCTTCGGCTTCTTGCTTTGACCTTGATTCAACTAAAAAGAGATCTGAAAACCAAGTTCTTCCCAGTTTTCACCAGAAGCAGTGGGCTGCAGGAAATCTCTGACATCCAGACTGGCTTTAGGTATCCGTGCAGTGACATCTACTGAAGTCAGATGTTTTTGATTAATTCTACTTTTAATTCCCCTCTTAAGAAGCTCAAGCAGTTTCTTGTTCTGGCTGCTGTTGCTGTTTTTTTTTTTTTTTTTTTGCCCGGCTGGTATGGGGATCCAAACCCATGACCTTGGTGCTATAAGGCTGCTCTCTAAACCACTGAGGTAATTAGCCAGCCTGCTGTTGCTTCTTTATAAGATAAAACAATGAACAGAAACTTGTGAGCTGCTGATGTAACCTTCCAGTTGGATTCCCCCACCTGTGAGTAGCTTCCCCTTCTTGGCAGCACACTGAGCAATTTTTATTATGTGGGTTGAGTTTTATCTAGACATTCGAACACTGAAATGTACCAATTTTCTTCTGAAGGTAAACATACTTTCAGACTGCTGCCTTGGTGATTGATTCACTCTATCAAAATTAATGTTACTGTTTGAAAATGTCAGGGAACTGTTGATACATGTTCACTGTGAACATTCGATGCTGCCTCCCATAAGAAAGTCATTTCAGCTGGGAAAGTGGTGATTACCTACGGCACAGCAGTCTCTTCATAAAGGCAGAAGTGAACATTCAGCTTGTATTTTGCAGTTGCCGACATTTTGCCTGTGATAGTAGGTCTTACTTGGTACTTACCCTGTGCCAAAGGTGGTTCCTTCCCTTGGTAAACCAGGAGAAGGTCTCCAGGTAGCCTGATGTCTGAGGTTACTGATGCTGGGAGATGCCATTGGACACAGAAGGCAGCCCCCTCCAGCTCTGGTCCTGAAGCTCAGGCCTTCCCCAACCCCCCCGCCAAGTGGGAAAGGTCTTTCCAAGTAAAAGAGAATTGGAGCAAAGAAGCAAAGGTGGGGTAAGACTTGCATCCTTTAGGGCTCCTGTCACGTGGGAAACATCTCACAGGCCTGCCATCCTCGCAGACCATTGCAAATAAATGGTATTGGTTCCCTTCCCCAAGTGGAATATATCAAGCTTTCTGTCCTTTTCATCCCCATAAATCCTGAAGCCCTGGGACATAGTTTGATAATCCCCTGCAGCCCACTTTAAATACCAGGGAGTGCAACTGGACTCTGTCCCAGAGTTTTGAGTGGCTTCCAAGAGCATTTCCTATAGAAGGTGCTTATTTACTACTGGAAAGTTCTCAGATCCAAGATAACTTAAAAGATACTGGGTCCAGGAGAGAGACATCCCTCTTTCTTCCTCCCCGTCCCAAGGTGCCTCCTTAAAGCCATCCGGGGAAGATGAGAAATACCAACAAAGGCACTAGACACGAAAGGGTCTCCGGTGATCCCAGGGAGGAAGGGTGTCGGGAAGCTGTCCCATCCCAGTATGTGCTTGGTTTTAGTGTCACTTCTCCACTGTGCTCCTCACAGCAGGCTCCATCTGAGGCATGATTACTTAAATACCAATTCCCACATCCCACCTGCTACCACCAATCTCTGTACTTGAATTTTTTTTTTTTAATCTTGTTACACTTCTACAAAGTAAATGTGACCTTTTTAGGTGGGCAGGATGTCACGGTAGTAGCTTTGTACTTCTGACCCATGTGAGTGACTGTCTGGTGGAGCATAGGTGAGAACGAGCGTGTCTTGGCCCTCAGACCCCCAGCCCACTGTGCTCACATGTGATAGAGACAAATGCTGGCTGGGAGCATGTTTTCTCCCTGCATGAATGTATGTGTCTCCCTCGATATTAGAAATGTGAGTTCTTGCCTGAGCCAGTGAAGCCCCTGACTAAGGACCCCAGTACCAGTTACCTCCTAGACCCAGGCAAAGGGAACTTAGAAGAGAGCAGATGGCTACTTCTGCCAATTTCTTTCTCTTGAATGACTCCCTTTCCTCCCTGCCCCCCGCCTCCCGATATCAACTCTTTAGCTGCTCTTTATTCACCTGTATGCTTTGCAGGATATGATTTTCATCCATGCAAATGGAAGAAACACTGTAATGAGAGAGACCAACCAAACTAATAATTTCATGGCACTGTAAAAACAAAACAAAAAAACACCCTAAGACCCTGGCCTTGGCAAGAGACCCCCCTGCAGAAAGACAACCTTGATGTCCAAAGGAAGGTGTAGATTTTTTGACACTAATATCTGTATGTTTCTGTCCCTGCAGCCTTAGGAAAATCCAAAGGTACAGTATCCTCTGGTAGCTACAAGGCCATGTTCAGTCTCTTAAAGTAAGCAAGCTATGTTGTAGTGAGCTCTTTGAGAGGGTGAATGTGCCGTGTTTGGTTGCTTGGCCAACTTACTTGAAGCTGTGTGCCCATCATTAAAATAGAATGGAGCCTGGAGAGACAATAGGCATGAGTGGCCCCTTCCCTGCTGTGTAGACAGGTGTGGCCTGCAGAGGTTGCCACGTGGCTGGAGTCCCTGGCAGTGGTGGATCTGGGGCTAGACCCTAAGGTACAAAAAGAAGGATGTATGTTTAGATGTCTCCTGCTGGTCGGTTCCCTGTTCTGGTCTGATGCTGCCTGGTCCCTGTCCTGCCTACTTCCATCTCTGAGTGTCCCCCACCTCCCAGTCTGGCCCCATTCTGCTCTGAGGGACGCTTGGATTCCACACCTTGGGAGCTTGTCGGGCCTTTATCCTAAGGCCAGCTGGCTTTGGCACAGAGTTGCGGCACAGCTTGTTGGCTCCGAGCTGCTCCCTGCCGCGGGGACAGGGCCGCCGGTGCCAAGCCTCGGCT